TAGCACCATGCCTGGCTAATTTTCATATTTTTAGTAGAGACAGGGTTTCACCATATGGGTCAGACTGGTCTTGAACTCCTGACCTTAGGTGATCCGCCCACCTCAGCCTCCCAAAGTGCTGGGATTAAGGGCGTGAGCCACCATGCCTGGCCTCCTTTTTTTTTTTTGAGATGAAGTCTTACTCTGTCGCCCAAGCTGGAGTGCAGTAGCATGAATTTTTGCCTCACTGCAACCTCTGCCTTCAGGTTTCAAGCGATTCTCCTGCCTCAGCCTCCCGAGTAGCTGGGATTACAGGCACACACCACCATGCTCGACTGATTTTTCTATTTTATAGTACTCACTCTATGTGCTCACCTGAGTGGTCTACCATTGGGTTGTTGGCCCCCTTTTACAGATGGGGAAACTGAAGCACAGTTGTTAGGGAAAAGCCAGAATCCAGTCACACAGCCTGGCTCTGTGTTCTCCGACACTGCTGCCTGCACTGTGGCTGCCGTCGGGGAGCAGGTACTGGAGCCCGCTGTTGGGGAGAGCCGATGTGGCTGCACCTACAGGCCTCAGCATGGCACATACTCCCAAGAAGCTGGCTCCTAGCACAGCCCCCACCCCGCGACATGGCACAGCTCTGTGGACTGTGCTGGTGGCATTCAGAGGCCACTTTCCTGCCTCGGCTGCACTCCCTAAAATGAAAATTACCAGGACTTCAGGCCTTTCAGGGAAAGCCTGCCTGCCTCCCATCATGTCCTTGAAAGCTTGGCATCCTAGCCCTGCCTGGCCATCCCCACCTCTGAAACCTTTACCTGTCACACCAGTGGTTCTCAAGTCTGGCTGCACACTGGAGTCAGCTGGGGGTTCTTTAGAACATACCCTGAGGTTCTGAATTAACTGACCTGTGGTGAGTCCTGATAGAGGACCTTTAGAAGCCTCCCAGTGATTCTAATGGGGCCAAGTTTCGGAATCATTGCTTTAAACTTTTAATTTACCTTTTTTTTGAAGACGGGGTATCGCTTTGCTGCCCAGGCTGAACTATCACGGCCCCCTCCAGCCTCCAACCCTAGAGCTCAAGTGATCTCTCCACCTCAGCCTCCTGAGCAGCTGAGACGACAGGGGCCATGTCGCCATGCCCAGCTAATTTTTTATTTTCATTTTATTCGGCCAGGCGCAGTGGCTCACTCCTGTAGTCCCAGCACTTTGGGAGGCTGAGGCGGGCAGATGACCTGAGGTTGGGAGTTGAAGACCAGCCTGACCAACATGGAGAAACCCCATCTCTACTAAAAATACAAAATTAGCCGGGCGTGGTGGTGCATCCCTGTAATCTCAGCTGCTTGGGAGGCGGAGACAGGAGAATTGCTTGAACCCAGGAGGCGGAGGTTGCGGTGAGCCAGGATTGCGCCATTGCACTCCAGCCTGGGCAACAAGAGTGAAACTGTCTCAAATTAAAAAAACAAAACAAGGCCGGGCGCGGTGGCTCAAGCCTGTAATCCCAGCACTTTGGGAGGCCGAGGCGGGTGGATCACGAGGTCAAGAGATCGAGACCATCCTGGTCAACACGGT